TTCTATGGGGAACACTATGCAGAAACTGCTGCTCAAGATCATTGTGGCTAAAATAGGCCAACAATTACACAAGAGAACTAATGATAACGGTCACTGAGAATGGCATTCAGTATTTAATTTGAATGAATTCACAAGATCCATCGAATCGACTCCGATCATTTCTTAGAAATTAAAGATGAATTATCAAACCTTTTTGAAATGGAAGGCAAAACGGAGGCATTCAATAAAATCAGTTAATGATTATAGAGAAAAGGGCTAAAAAGAGACCACGGCAGACCATTTGCGAGGTTTCTTTCGTGAAAGAGTCCAGAGACAAGATTTATTTTAAATGACGGAATGAATAAACAGGGTGAGACATTAACCCTAATAATAACGATTGTTCTGCAGTCATCCTTCTTAATGGAAGAATCTCCTGCTGAATTTAGAAATGCTAAAGAAATCCATCACTATTTTGATTTCGTATAGAAGACTGGAAAGAGCATAATTTGCACTATACATTAAAAAGATCGTTCTATAAATTATTCTGATTCAAAAGCTGCATTTACTGAAACCATTATTGGTGACTATACTTGCAGTTTCAGGAAAGTAAGCCTGAGACAAATAATGGACATTAAAATACACTACTTATTTATTGACTTGAGAACAATTTATGACTCAGTAAATAGAAAGTTACTCATACAGGCAATGAGTATTGTACAAACCTGAGAAGCTCTGGTCACAATCACTTAAAATAAAACTAAATATTGAGTCTAGGTACGGAACAACCTGTCAGAAACGGTCGATTTTTCAAACGGCCTCAAACAGAGAGAACTCTTTAACCTCCAAAAGATAGTTAAAGATTCTGCAATTTACACCAGAGGAACAATTTTCCACAATACTCAGTAAATTTTTGCATTTGCTGATGACATTGCCTCTCAAACAGTCCTTTCTTTCCTTGGAAAAATAGGCAAAGAAAGTTTCAATCAGCCAAATACAAAACAGTTTTAATGATCTAAAAATAGGTGACTACAGTTTCGAAGCAGTTCACCTATTTATACTCAGAATTGATTGACGCAAAACCATCTGGAGCCCGAAAAAAGGATCTGGTGAGGAGACTGGCTTGAAAAAGTTATAAAGTGGAAGAGACAATCCAAGAAGAAGGCCTGAGGAAGACTATGGCTCAACCTGGACTGGTGCGCCATTCAAGAAGAAACTGTAATTAAAAAAGTTATATTTCTTGCCCTTTCTCTTTTATTAGTATTTTACTTTAATAATGTTGTAAAGGCAACGGAAATATAAGTAAATAATGATTATTGATCAGATCTACATACAATATCAGGTTTCAAAAATGCTAGAAGAAAAAAAAAACTGTTAAAAAAAAGTCCGAACACATAGAACTTCTAAATTTTACCGTAGAACCCTAGGGATCCGCGGAACACTGTTTAGGAACCACTAGTCTAGATTACTTTATTTCATAACTGTCCTTGAACTGCCGATCCAATTTCGGGTTTACGACTACCAATGTTCAACTCCGTAGCCTTGTAATTTTGAACCCAATCCAGATAACTCCTGGATCAAGCATTGGGAAAAATTTGTTTCGTGGAGGACTTTTTGATTGAACTAACCCACATTTGCGCTATATGGAGAGAAAAACCTTGAAAACCTCCCATGGTTAGCCTAACGGCAAGAGAGCTCTAACCCATGATCCGTCTACCAATGAGGATATTTTTATGTCTGCACTGTGGTTCGTGCAACCCGGGTGAGGAATTTGTATCAACCAGCCATCGCTGGGATCTAGATTATTACAGATAAATTGTATTACATCATCATATCTAACCAAACATGGTTTTACATACAAGTATGTAATGACCTACAAAAGTGGTCCCCAGGGGTCTCTCTAGGAATATTAAATTATTTCCCCTTTATTTACTGTACTGCATTTTTCTCATGTTTGTTGTTGTTGTTACATATGCCACAAGACATTATCAGCAAGCCTGCTTGAAACAAAGCGAATTTTTAAGGCAGAGGGTGCGTGTCTTATTTTTCTGTTGCCCATTTATGGCCAAGAATACGAATTCAACCACGCGTAACAGCCCGTTTTACAAGGAGGACCCATCGGTACTTCATTTATTCATCCACAGATCGTAATTCTGACCTGAATTAGAGATTAATCAATCTTCAATTCAGTACCACAGAGGTATAGATTTGCTATGGGAACTTGGAGAACTTAGTGACCCCAACAGTTTTAACGTGTACCAGTCATCATTTAAAAAACGGGTGTTTATTTAACCGGCGGGATTCGAACTCAAGAAAACGAGCCCAACGTCCTACCAACCAAACCCTCTCGGGTTTGGGTGACGTTCTACGGACGAGATGTTAACTGGTAGATGATAACTCGGATAAAACTTTATCTGAGATAGACTTAAAACTAAGATTCGATATAAATATAGATATGTCTAAGATAAAATCTAAATAATTTATACCTTACAAACTTTTCAGCAATACATACCGCTTTTTGCCATTCCAATCTAACGTCTATTTGCATTTGAGTAGGCCAAAGTAAACAACAACTTCAACCGTTTAAAAAGTTCTTGAACGGCTCTCACGTGGAAAGTAGAAGAATACAGAGGAATATTGTGAAAAATATTGTGTTTACGATATTTATCGTTGTTTACAAATAATTCTTAAAGTAAAGGCGAAAGCCAGATTAGAAGGGAAAGTCCCGTTATCCACGGTGCCATATAGAGTCCAGGCAGAAAAAGTCCCGAAGAAATTAATAACTCTTACTCTTTTCCATAGAACAATCTGATTTAGCTTTCATTCTTGATCCGGCAACCTGCGTGTAGGCAGCTCTACCCGGTCATGATATCGCTGTTAAACTTATTTCCTTTTTTTATTACATTAAATGTTAAGTTTCATTATTGTCTTTTTTTCCTCCCTTGCTCCACAAATTCCTACAGATAATGGGGGCTCGCGACCGTGATGTGAAAATACCGAGTTATATTTTTTGAACTTCGAAATCCCAAGTAGGAGATATGCACAAAATTTGTGGACTCTTTTAAATCCCCGCGAAGGGGATACTCACCGAATTTGTGGAGCTAAATCAAGTGCAATTCTACCCTCGTGAAGGTGTAGATTACAAGTGCAATTCTACTCTCGTGTAGATTTATTTTAACATTCGAGCGAATGTTGTTCCAAAGAAAACTGTTCCGTCTGCCGTGAAGAGCCTCGAATTTTCTCACGAATTCTCTTTCATAACTAATTTAAAATGTGTATCATAAAAAAAAGTGAGTTCAGACAAACCTAGAGTAAGCCGTCAAGTTTCAAATACTGAAAAGAAAATTTTAAATAAATTATGAGATGACAGCTTAGTATTATGCAACGGAGAACTTCTAATAATTGGTTTGTATTTTAATATTTCGAAGTATTTTTTTCAGCAATTGAAACTTCATAACTTACTCTAGGTTTGCCTGAACTTTTGTTTTCTTTCTTTTAAATTAGTAATGATGGAGAATTTTCGATGAAACTTTTCTTCCTCTGCATGGCATCCTCCTAAATTGTACCATCTTCAAAAATGACGAGTATTTATGATTAAGGGAATAAGTCATGAATTTTGGCATTTTATATTGCTCACCTCGTTTTGTGATGTTGGTTCGTTAAATCTCAGTTGGAACCCTTTCACAGATTGAAGGTTATCTATTTTATTCGTAGTTAATTTAAAATATGTAGTATCGATATCATACCACTTAGTTAGGAGAGAGAGTTGTTTCATCGCCTTTTCACTTCAATTAGTAATTTAAAATATAGAGAAAGTGAGGCAAACCTAGATTAAGTTAGGAAGTTTCAAATTATGAAACGAAATTTTCAAAATAAAAACAAACTACAGAAGGATTACGGAAGTTCTCTTCCATTAATTTGCTTGAGTTTTGAAACTTCATGTTTTACTCTAGGTCTTCCTGAACTCACTTGTTTTATACTTTAAATTATTTATTGAGGAGAATTTCTTCCGCGTTATAGCATTCTCCCATAAAAGCTCTCTAAATTATAATAATTAATGACTTTTTGCTTTTAAATTCATACATTTCTTAAAAATATAAGCAATGGGAAGCGTTGGAGGGGTTGTCTCCCTCAAAAAGTCTCTACAAGCCTCCTCAGATAAATAAAGAAAACTTTTATGAATCGATTTAAATTCATTAGAGTAAACAAAATCCATCTTTTTGCAAATATTTAGAAGGCATACTTTTTTTTTCTTATGTGTGAAATTCAGAGAGCTATTGTGGCACTTAGAAATACCCCCGGAATGCAAAAAATGTTTCATAGTTTCTTAATTAAACAATTTGTTGGCAATTTATTTGTGCATATTTTTAAACTTAAGCTTCCTAGAAAAAACTTTCTAAAAAAAGCTAATGCAAAAAAAAAAAAAAAAAAAACTAGAGACAGAGAGAGAGAGAGAGAGAAACGGACTATTCTGAATAATTTTTGATCTAATAATCGGATCAAGTTCTAGGACTCAATCTTAATCAGCGTGCATAGCCAAATCTCTCAACAAAAAATAAGCAAATTTAAAGTACTTTTTAAACACTAAAAAATACTTTTAAGCACAATATACATTAACAAACTGCAAAATAATTTTCAAAGATTTTACACGATCATGATAAAATGACTGGGTCTGACAAAGAACTCTTTTCGTGATTATATTAGCCACCATAGATCGAGAGATTTTTCGGTTCGATTTCAAAGGGTGGAAAATGAAGTCCGAAATTGAGAGCAAAATGCAACGGAGTTGCACATGAAAGTGAATCTAACCAAATCCAGCTCAGTAGACTCCCAAGTATTTCATCAAATATGTAACATGATTGACGGACCGACGATACACTGAAATGGATAATGGTTGAATGAATTGTGAAAACGTTGAATAGAACAATGTGAAGCTTTTGCATAATATGCAGCGAAAATCGACCTGGTAAAGAAAAAAAAAATCTCATTTTCGAAAAGCACTTTTTAAAAACATCCTACGAAAAAAGCACCTTTAAGGCCTTTTAAAAAACGAAAATAAGCACCTTTAAGCACTTTTTACAAACGCTCCATGTTAATAGTTCAAAGAGGTCAAATATTCCAATTAATTGGTGCAGATAATATTTTAAGTTACAAAATCAAACACGAAAAGTACTTAGGATTTGTTTAATCGTTTTAACCTTTGATACTGTCCTAACTCTTAACCAAAGATAACTGGACTGGTTTTAAACTTTTTAGGAGGATGGATTATTAAAAGCATCTAAAAAAATTGGATATGATGAAAGATCTTGGAAACGGTAGAGAAGCTGTGTTATGTTTGAAATGTTTTACTATTTGAAGAAATGGTAAATATTCCCTTCTTTTTTCTTTTATCTATCATAGTATGTTTAAACTGTGTAGTTTATTTTGTATAAAATTTATTAGTTACTGTTTCCCCTGATATTTTATCAAGAGAGTTCATTCTGGATGTTTTTAATAATGTATGTCTTAATAAACATTCATTTTTGAAATGAAATGAGTTTCACAATCATATACTCACATTAACTAGAACATGTAAAGACTCCACATAAGATTTTTCAGTCTCAAAAATTTCAGTCACAACATGTGTTCTGGTGTCCTATGAAAAAGTTAAATTTTATTAAAATTGAACACAATCACTATATCTGTATAAATCAATAAAAAGTGTTTGAACAATTTTGTATGATCAAAATTAATATTTAAAAGACATCGAAATTTAACAAAAGTTTCTACTAATCTAAAGCAATTCCACATATCAAAGTTAATTTCTTTAAATCTATACTATAATCTACACTTTAAATCTATACGATACATGTAGTTTTATTAGTCACAATTTTGTATTAGTCAATTCTAATATTTCTATTTTGAGTGTACCCTGATACTTGTGTCTTATCCTAATACTAGAATTGATTCTCAGCTACCTGGTTTGTTTATGGAAATGTCTTAACCAGGCTGTGAACTAATGTCTGATTGTTTATCTTGATTTCAATTCAAATTTTGAAGTATTTTATTCATTTTCCAAGTTATTTGTATTAGTTTTAAAATTTTCTGGTACTTGAATATTTTATTTATAATTTTTGTCACGCCATAATTACTTTTATCATTGTAAAATATTTCGAAATTATTATTCGAACAAAAGATAAACAAAATCATTAATCATCAATATAAATTCCATTAAAAAAAATCAGTATTATGTTTTAGATAAACTCTGGTAAAAATTGTTTACAAAGATTTAAAAGTAATAAATCCAATTTAATAACAATATCATGACTCCTGAGAAACATTTAGAATAAAAAGCTTCACTTTAATTGTAAACCTATCAGTATTCCAATCTTTTTACATCAAAATATTTTCAGACAACAAGTGAATATTTAAGTTTGATGAATACGTTGATCGGATGCATTTTCAGTTGTTTATCTTCCCTACTGTTTTATCCTAACGACTTCTAATGTCGTTGTCAAGAGGAAAGGGCAAAATATTTATTAAATAATTATTAAAGAGAGAACAATCATCTTAGTGACACAAAATCAAAGTACTTCTCAATAAAAGTTGAATCCGTGAAATGTTTTGTTTGTAGTTAAACTTGTAGGGGATAAGGGAAATCTTAATAATTATAATTGGTCTATTGAATAGGTTAAGGAAAAATTATCTTTCTCACGGTTAGCTAGAAGGAAAACTATAAAATGTTAACTAATGTATAACTTGAAGTCAAAAATAGATTAAAAGATAGAATGTGACTGTTAAAGAGTGAAAAAGAGCGATTTGTTTTGATTAATAAATTAAGAAAAAGATTTACAAAAAAAGAATAACATCAAGAGATTTTTTTATATTACACAGAACGCACGCACGCACACACACACACACACACACACACCTGGAAAAATTATTACCTGGAAAACATGATCGGAAATATTATCTTACGCTGCTAGGGGCTCTTTCCTATTACGGAAATATTGTTCGGTGCCTTTGTGATTGCACTTTTAATTTTCTGAAGTATTTTAATTTCATGTTAATTTTATGTTAATACAATTTTATTTCATTTTATAATCAATCATTAAACGATAACTTGTATTATATATACTATCGTTGAACAGTCAACCCCAGGGCTAAAGAGAATAGAAGGGCTGGTTCACTCCTTTGAAGAAACTCTCGCCGCGCCAATCCTCCGATTTTCTCTAGTGACGTCACTTGGGCGCAAAGCTCGCACTTATACTTCAAGAACAGAGCGTTCGCCTTACTAGCTCTAACTAATATTCGAGCATTTCTCTTTGTGACATATTCTAAGACATTTGTTATTTTCTATAATGACTTTCCTCAGTTTTTGCCGTGAATTTACAAAATTTTAAAACTATTAAAAAATGCCAGTTTGCGCGATTGCAACTTGCAAAAATTCTGATAGAAACACAAAAGGAAAAAATATAATTTTCTGCGTGTTCCCTAAAGTAAATGAACAACTATGTAAAGAATGGATTCAGAAATGACACAGTTAATATAAAACAACAATACATTTTTTCAATCGTTAAGAACTTTTATAAAAATTCGGCTTGTGAAAAAAATTAAAAAATGGATAAAGTCAAAGAAAATTAAAAGGTAAGTAAAAAGTATAAGTAAAATATATAGTGTACAGTTGAAATTCTCCTAATTTCATAACTTATTTTTTTAATGTAGTTATTCTAAATATTTATGATTCTTTTAAAAATTATATTCTCTTGAATTTAAATATCTACAAATTATATCATGTTAAATTTAAATATCTATAAACAATTGTAAAATTTCTAATGTCATTATGAACCTAAATTATTATTTTGTTTCAATAATTAGAGTTTAAGGTTGATGTTTCCAAATGATTAAGTAAGAACAAATTTCTATTAACGGCATATTTTAAAATCGGGGATTCTAAATTTAACTCAACTTATTGTTATAAAAGAATATGAAGATAAAAAAGTGTCGATATATGCTTTCATTTTTCTTAATAATTAAAGTTAAAACTGAACTTTTTAAAATAAAGTATTTATAGTGTCATTTTCGCCAACTAGTAAAATATTTTTATAAGTTTAAATTGGTATTTTTTTAATATAACGGCCAAGAAAGTTTTTTTAAACTATGTTTATGAATGGAAATAATGTGTTAATTACGAAAAGTTTGAAAGCTTATAACCAGAAAAAGTCTAACTTATTTTTACAAAGAGAAAGATGCAAAGTTATCATAATATCTTTGCATGCGATCTTCCGAGATCTGTGGATACAGTGACGTCATAAGGAGGGAAATCGTAGCTTCAGCTCTAAGAGCGGAGTGAACTAGCCCTTCTATTCTCTTTAGCCCTGAGTCAACCCAATGTTTTGTGTTTAGGACTACTACCCCACAGACTTGTAATTTTGAATCAAATTCAGAAGACAAGGGAACTCCTGGATCAAGTATTGGGAGAAATTTGCCTTCGTGGAGAACTTTTCAATGGAACTAATCAACATTTACGTTACATAGAGAGGAAAATCACGTAAACCTCCCACGGCTAGACTAACATCAAGAAGACTCTAACCCACGATCCGTCTACCACTGAGGATATTTTTACGTCAGCTCTGTGGTCAATCTGAACCGGGTGCGGAATTCATATCAACCAGCCACAGCTGGGATTCGAATTATTTGCAAAATGCGAAATATTTTGTTTTAATAATTTTTCTCTTTTCATTAATCTTTATTTATTAACAATAATTGGAAAAAACACTCAGTTTATGGCATTTTCTTAAACTTTTCATAATATACTTAAAAGATATTTTTTTCAGGAATGTTTAGTTCAAGCGATTTTTTATAACTAGCAATAAAGTTTAAAGCATTCAAAGGTTTTCAGGGACCGACAATTAATTATGAAATAAAACAAGTATTTTTGAACACCTTTTGCCAAAAAATTAAACAATAAGCTTGTAACTTGTATCGATTACTTTGGTTGTTATTTTCAATAACTGCATAAAATTTCGTAAACCTAAGGTCATATGGACATTTTCATAAAAAAAATGCTTTTTTCGTCTTACATTTTTTTGTTATTTTTTTATAAATATAACATGGAATCAAACAATATTTTTGGAGCTATTTAAAATTAATTACAAAATTATTTATTTAAAATTTTAAAAAAAATCGCTAAGAACTGTGCAAGATAAAAGTATATAGTTCTTTTATACAGCACATGCGTAAAAAAAAATTTAAAACTTTCTTTTTCTTAATTTTGTAGTGAATCGTATTTGGCAACTAATGAAGAAAGTTTTATTTGAATATCTAAAAAATTTAAAAAGTTTCACCCAGCAGTTTTCGTACTGTTTAAAATAAAGATCTAACTAATAGGGGGTTTTCCGCAAATTTTATTTTATATCATAAAACTAAAGATAATAACAAATAATAATGCGCAAAGATCCCCCCAAATGCCAGTGTTATTTTTAATCAATCTTGCAAATATAGTTTGTGAAAAAAACCTTATTGTTTCTAGCTTTATTTTAAAATACAAAAACAACTTAGAAAATTTACTTGAAGCTTATTAAATTTGAAAGTTATTCAAATCAGACTTTTTCTATTGGTTGCCAAATACGATTGATTAAAAAATTATGAAAAAAATTTTACATTTTTTTCGCACATGCGCAGTATAAAAGAGCAACTTTAAATGCTCATATCTTGCGCAGATTTAATGATTTTTTTTTCTTCAAATTTTAAAACAATAATTTTATAAATAATATTAAATTGCTCCCAAAATATTGTTAAAATTTATTGTATATTTTTAATGTTATAGCAAAAAAAACGTAAGACAATTTTTTATTATTTTTTATATAGTATATACATATAAATGCCTATATCTCCATAAAAATTTAAGCTATGAAATTTAAGCTATAAAATTTCATAGCTTAAATAAAAATTTAAGCTATGAAATTTTATGCAGTTATGAAAAATAACACTAATCCATAGAAGTTTATTGTTAGATTTTCTAGCAGAGGGTGTTCAAAAATACTTGTTTTCTTTATTTATCGGTCCCTCAGAACTTCGAAAGCTCTCATTGCTAGGTATGAAAAATCGCTTGAAATAAAAACCTCCAAAATTACTCAAAGTATTTCTTGAGAAATTTTTAAAAAATGTCAAAAACTGTCATTATTGTTGTTTATATATAAATAAGGGGAGATAGAGTGAAATAAGTTTTTTATTTATTGGACCTTTGTGATATATCTTCTGAACAGTTGCATACTTCTGTAGAAATTTGTAACTTTTTTCTTTACTTTTTCATACTTCAGTGTTTCCCAAACTTATGACTTTTGTGCACCCTTTCTAAATTTTTCGTAACGCTGTGTACCACTAATAAAAAAATAAATGTATTTTTTACTATAAAAAAATTGCACAAAAGTTAAAAATCTCAATTGGCTGTTGACACAACTAGTTACTAACTGTTAACTCTGCAAAAAAATAGCTAAAAGAAAAATACGTAAATTTTCATGGCTAGCTTTGTTTTTGAATAATTTTCGTTTGTTGCAAGATATTTCGCATAAGAACCATCGTTAACTGTTCCCCTGAGGGTACCACACTTTGGGAAAAACTGACATATTCCCGAATTTAAGGAAAATATGTTAT